ATGGCGCAGAGGTCTGAGACCCTCCAATCTAGCAGCAGCTTTGTGGTCCCTTTTGCATGTGGATCAGTGATTGGCTGCTTGTGCAGCATAGAACATGAATAGCATCCATAATCTGCAGGCTGTCTCCTAGCTAGAATGGGGCCAAGTGCATGATCTATCGAGGTCTCTGAAGAGCAAAGTGATGGAGGGATTTGCTAAGGACTGCGCAGACTTGGGATGGCAAATCCTCTTCCCTGCTGGCTTAGATCTGAGCCTGTTAAAGTATTGACACTGGAGCTCCTAGGGTCCTTCCAGCACTAGAAATGCTGTGTGCATCCCAGAATCCTCTGTGCTGGGGAATTTTATTTCCCCCACAACTGCGGAGGGGAGGGATGAAAAGAAGCTGACCTGGATCACTGTGGTGTTAGGGAAACCATAACACCCAATGGGGTGATCTTGTTGAACTGTGACCTTGTACCTCAAATCATGGCTACGTGCTGGATAATCTCTTCATTGTGTAGCCGGAGTTCTTTTTGGCTGCTATGACTGGCCTGGCTGGGATTTTCCTTGCACTGAGTCACTGCTCTGGGCTGTGCCAAGAGGAGCTTTGGCATTGTGCAATAAATACCATCACTCTTCATGCTCACAGTTGTCACTAATAGTTTGGGTTTGTGCTGCTGCATCTTGGGGCTTGCTGTTGCATTGCTCTTTTCATGCTGAACCTGTCACCTTGTCATTCAGATAAAATCTGTAATTGAGAGGACAAAAGAGACCTTAAACGTGCACCCAATGTATCGTGAGCGCTCACCGAGGCGGAAAGTAGGGCCAGTCATATTTCATAAGACTGTGTCCCAGGATCGCTTGATTGAAGAGCTGCAAGACAGATTGGGAATCAGCAAACAGGAAGAGGAGGAATGGAAAAGCCAGGAAGACTGGCTGACTGAGGGGGTCATTGTCACCGCCAGGCCACAAAGGAAGCAGCAGGATGGTGGACAGCAAGTACAGAAGGTAGAGAGCAAACTCTGTACTAGGGTTTTTCCCCGTGTCGCTCTGCTCAGAAGGTCTCTAATGGAGATGTAGAGTAGGAGGTGGGAGTGACAGGTGTCTTGAGAGTCCTGGGATAGCTTTGGAATCTGACTCCTCTGTCCTAGCACTGTTCCCTTTTCAGATCAGCTAGGACATCCAAATCCCAGCTATGTAGGAATTGGAATAAGCAATCTCTTGGGAGGGCAGTGTTATCTGATAGGAAGTCTAATGTTGTCTAAGGTCAGGCACTGAAGTGAGGTTTATTTTCATTCCACAGTGGGGAGGTCAGTCAATAAGCAGACCGTATTTCTTTCTTTACTTGGCAACATGATATGTTTAGATGTAAGATAAGGAACCTGCCCTGAAGTGCTTATAGCTAGGCAGGTGTTGCTAGGTGCCTTCTCCTTGAGACTCGGGCACTTCCTCAAAGAAGGTCTATTTCTGGTTGGCTACAGCAGTGAGGTTGGCCTGCTTGCAGTCTGTGTTCTGCCGTGAAAGGAAAGTAGAGAAGTGCTAGGTAGTGAGTGCCATGTTACCGTCTGTTTCATGCTGCCTGTCCTTCTGTTGCAGGAAGTGCTTCTCCGTTCGTCTCCAGATTTGTTCACCTTTCTCCCTTCTTTCTTTCTAGATTATAATTCCTCCAGAATCCCCCCTGCCCATGAGAAGAACAGTCTCTGTGCCAGCTTCTCCCCCACTCCAGCATCCCAAAGAAGCTGCCAAGATTTTCCCTGCCAAAGCTGCTTCCTCTTCTCACCCTATTCCCTCTCCACTTCCTCCACCCCCTCCTCCATACCCGCCACAACCTTCCTATGTACCCTCTGCTGCTGCTCCTAATCCAGTCTCCTGCTCCTTCAGCTTGCCTCCCCAGCCTCTGTTCCAGTGGGAGACTTCTTCTGATGACTACCAGGAACTCTCTGTGGTGGGCACTCCCCCCTCTGAAGATCATAGATTCCTCCATTCTCCCCAAGCCCAGATTCCTCCTGCCATGCTGACTGAGCCAGTGGTAGCGTCTTCTCCTGCCAAGACACTATCTTCTGTTGGCTGTCAGACTGACCAAGATCCATTCTTCCCACCGATGCAGGCATGCTTTTCCTTGTGCTCTTCATTGAACAGAGCAATTACACGTCTGAATCCAGCACTTCCTGGCCTGTTGGCTCTCTAGGTAGAGCGTTTGGGTAAAGGCTGGTACTGGGCTGCTCTACAGAAGATGAGTTTAGTGCTGCCAGTGGCTGATTTTTCTATCAGATTTGTCCCTTTATAGCAGTGTGAGGTGCACGTGCATGGAACGATCCAGATCCTGTGTCCATTTGCTGGCCACATCCATGTGGCATTGGGAATGGACCATGATCTTTGTTTCTCGCCATTGAACTGAAGGAATCGAGTCCATTAGTTTAGGGCCCAATACTCCCCTCCACAGTGTGGCACTGAGGGGAGGGGAGAAAGATGTGGAAAAGCCTGAGAACCAGAAGAAGAGGCTGAACAGTGATTCCACATGCCCCTGAACCCCACCCATGTGGACACCGCTCAGCTGGGATTCTGTGGGGCTTGGGGTGTAGTGCGGAGGCAATAAATAGCTGCTCTGTATGTCCTGCTCTCTTAAGCCCAGGGAGAATCCTGCTAGAAAAGCGTAGGGAGACCCAATACCTGAGCAGGCCTGATTCCATCCATTATAGGTAGTGACCCTCATACGCAAGCCAGTGCAGTATAGCTTCAGTCTCCACAAGCACCAATCCATCAAGGAGGTTCCTCTGCATCATGAATTGTTGTCATACTTTGCAGGTGACCCCTACTCCGCCGCTGGTCCGACGTACCAATCCACTTGCTGCTCGGCCACCCCTCGCGCCGCCCACCCATGAGAAGGCAGGATACCCTTTCTGTTTCCCCGCTCAGCATGGTGTGCTGTTAAGGCAAGAGGGATGTCATTCTGGCACAGTCCTCTGAGCTGTTCCTAGAGGTCCTGTTGCTATGAATGCCGGATGGTTGTTTTTCTATGCATGGTCTGCTGTTTACAGGTGCGTTGCTGAACCTGACAGCAGTGGCAGACCTTTTAAATTAGGGCAGGAATTTGGAAGGCCTTTGCATGAGCATTTCTAGCACGCGAGTGTGGTGTGCATTGGTAGTGTTCCTAAAGGGGCTGTGCTCTACAGAGTGCAGGCATTGGGGGTGCACCCCTGCAGGGGTGTGGAATATTTCCAAAAGGAACCGCACCCCTTTGCTGGTAAGAATGCAGTCCCACCAGTAAAGGTCAAGTCCATGTTGTCCTGCACTGAGATGTCAGTGGCTGCACTGAAGTTAGCTGAGGCTGGCTGGTGCCTGGGGCAGGGAGGGACCTGTCACTGGTGCATTCCATTCATTGCCATCCTCTCTGCAAGTGACACTTCACGTCTCATTTGTCTGTTTCTAGTCAGTTTCTGCACCCCCTGTCCAATGGCCACAGGCCCCTGGCCAGGATGAGGAAGCATGTGGCTCCCTGTGCCCCTCTGTTGCATGATACGGGCACCCACACATGTGTATTGTTACCTTTTGAGTGTGTTGGCTGTGAAGTGCTACAGGGATCAGACTAGGAAAGGTGCTGACGCTAGAGAAAAATCAGCTCCAGGGAAACCTGGGTGTAAGGGCTAGGAGATGATCGATACTAGATACATAAACATGTCTACCGACTCCCATTGCCTGTACTCTTGAGTTATGATCAGTTTGGATTCACTGGTCTAATTTTTAGAGGTGCTGAAGGTCCCCAATTCACTGTACTCTGCACCTCTCAGGATCAGGCCTCTGACTGCCCTGCAGTTTAGAGAGGGAGAATCCTAAACTCGGTGTCCAGCAAGATGTTTCCTCCCCATAACGCTGTCTTGGGGAATCTGCACTGTAGGTATAACTGACAAATGCTTGTGTGCCCGTGTGTCAGATCTACAGGGTCTGGTCTATGCCCCAGCCTGTAACCAGTCCTTTTGGGGTGACCCCTTTAATGTGCTAGGCCCCAAGGACCCACCCAGTTCCACAGGGGCAAGACTCCACATACTCCAAAACTGGGCTTTTGGGTGCCAACAATCCCTGTTTCCCTCCATGGCTCCCTGCAGCAAATCCGGCAGAGCCAGACTCCTGTGGGAGGTGTGTCCTTCGCTCCTTCAGAGTGCAGTGCTCCCAGTACGAGTGACAGTAGGGATCCTTTTCAAAACAACACATCGGTCAGCTGGGGGTACAGAATCTGAAAGTCCTTAGGGGTGAGCACAGAGAAGCAAAGATTAAGACACAGTTCAGTGTGGCCAGCGTCCGAGCTCTACCCAGCCAAGCTGCTGTAGAATTCATTTTGGCTCTGTCTCTGTCCTGTTGTCTGGTTTCAGGTGGGGGGTGTGTTCTGTGTATCTCTCTGAGCACAGCTTGTAAAACACCACCTGCTACCTTTCCTCTTTGTCTGTCTGCATGCAGGACAGCTGAAGAGCAATGGGCAGAGACTGCAGAAATTCCCTGAGGTCTGTACAGTGCTTGCCTAACGACCTCGGGGCCTTTGCTCTGCTTCCCTGTAGAGAAGTGGGGGGGAATCTCCTTCCTCTTGGCTGTTGGTCATTGGGTGTGAATGGACCAGGGATTGGAGGTTCCATTGTCTCTTGCGATCCTCCACTCACATGTGTAGACTTCATTCAGCTTGTTTTGACTCTGGTTTCCAGGAAGGCTGCTGAGTCAACACCTCATCCCTTCCCTTTACACTCAGTGCAAAGCCCGGTGGGAAACTGAGGCACACATAGGAATCATGGAAATATTACAAAACTTTTAACAGAAATGCAACATAATGTCCATAATCCACCTGAAAGGTCCCTTCAGGAAATGGCTCGGTGGAGTTCTCTAAACCTGACAGCCACCATTGTGCTGCAGGATTAAGTAAAATAACCTACACTTCACAGTGTAACAGGACGTGAACTCTGAGTTTGCCCTATGTCACATGGAGATGAGTATCCAAACAGACCAGAAAGAGCAAAGTCCTGCACACTTCCTCT